CTTGACGTCATGCAATTCAACAAATGCATGAATAAATCAAGCATTACTGCAATTCAGAGAAAAAATGTAGTAATCAAAATAAAAATATAGGGGAAAATAATGGCATGAAAAATCCTCAAAACACTACATATGTTAGTAACAACAATAACCTAAAAATATAAAACTCATGAAGTACTATATGCTAGTAACAATAATAACCTAAACTGAAGAGAAAAAAGATCGTCACGCAAAGTGCAATAATTCAGCTTACGCTTCAGACGCAATTTCGGCTCAGTGAATCAGTATAAAAACACATAGCTTTTTTCCTTTTTTGTTATAAAGTACCGTGAGATTCCTAACAAAAAGCGAAGTGAAACGAGGTCGAGTGGACGAGGATTTCGGAAACAAAAATGCCCGATAAATTCTATTAAAAGAAAAAGAAAAAAAAAAACCTATAACATATGGTCGAAATTCATATCTTAATAAACTGCAAACTTGTTATTACAACTTCAGATTTGTACAGAAACGTTTGAATCTTCGAATACAAAAAAAAGTCAGCAAACTGGAAATATCCAAAAATATTTCTGGAACACCCTTTCTTTAATTCATTCTCCAATTCACTAAATCGAATAATTCCATAACTCCTTGTGGAAGAAACTGATGAAAACGAAGAAGACAAGTTCATGTTTCACAAGTTATTTCATTATCCTTTCCTAAATCTCCAGACACTTCATTAGCCGATACACTTCTCGTTCAGAATCTGCAACATTGCCGCATGTATGATATCTGGACATGACACAAAACAACAACGACTCTCGTCACCAACGACTTGCTTCACTTCTTCACGTAAAGACATTTTCGCACCAACAAATATCGTCAGTACACCCTGTAAATGGAAAATGTGGCAACTGTTCGGGAAAAATTGAAAAGTAGTTCACTTTAACATCGTTTATGCAATTAGATTTTAACAACTGCCACACTCTAATAACGGGCCAACATCTGACGACATGAATTTCTGTGCAAAACCATTACTCCTGTAGGATTCACCACATTAAGGAGGAAAATGAAAAAAGGATTCCTTCCCTACGTTTATCGATAATTTTGATTTGTCGTTTCAAAAATGACATCAAAATCAATTCAAAAATTCAGAAATTCCAACAAATTGCATTGCTTAATCCATCTTTGCGCAAAGCCTTGCATTTCTAATCGCTTCTTACCTATAAGACTCGGAAGATGCTACTAATCTAGTAATAAAGCTAAAGACTAATTGTTACCTTGACTCTCTGGGAATATTCATATACGATTATCCAAAGACACATTTCAATCCCTATTTTACAAGCCTTAATTAGCATCTCTAACTTCAGGTATTCAAAAAAAAAGGGGAAATTATAAAAAAATCTTACATCCGGATTTTGCTTTGCTGCTTGTCGAACCATAGGAATGTCCGATAAAGTATCCCCGCAAATTAAAATCTTTCCCGGTGCTTTCAGCGAATCACCCAAACCTTTTATCAAACGTTCAACTCCATCGCCTTTATTCCATATTATTCCCGAACTGTGTGCAACTACTTCAACTTCTAGTTCTGTGGATGGATCAAATGCCAAAATCTAAAAAATCCCGTTAGTCTTGCATTTATGTGAAAAGAGCTAAATTTTTAAAATTACTTAATGAGGAAATGATGAGTAACAGCAAGCAAATAAGGAGAAGTACCAACCACCATTATAACAAGTAAATAAATTCCACGCGCATTAAATACAATTGAAGCAATCCTATCTCTGTCGCTTCAGAGAATTTTTGAAATTACTTTTAAAAATTTTTGAAAAAAAGAATTCGTTTCACTAAATTCGTTTATGATCTGCCTGATCTGGGGCATCGAACTTGAAATACCTACCTGACTATTAGGATCCACGCGATGCATCCGTTCTTTCACAGCCATTTGATATCTGTTAGACAATTCGGAAGTTACGTGATGGCAAACGGTTTGGACACCTAATGTTAATCGATCTACTTTTCGTTGCACGCCACTTCCAACAAATGCAAATGGAGCATAATCAGAGGAATGCAGCAAATCTTTCATCTGAAGTGACTTTATCCACTTTATTTGCACTTATATCACTTTTATTCAAACACCGATAATCAGCGTAAAATCGACTTAAAAAAAAAAAGACAGAAAAAAAAAAACGGAATTCAGCATACCTCATCATCCAAACGCTGCAATGCACTGAAACCCTCATCTGTAATGCCATCTTCATGGACAACACGTTTTCCGGAAAGCCACCATTCGCGACCCCATGAACCACTGAACATTACAGGACCATCAATTGGCATAGCTGTTAGATCAAGTATACCTGGACCACGTAGTGGACCTGCTGTCAACACCGCGCATATGCGGGTAAAGCAGGCTGCAAATCGAGTCATTCCAACTGCACTGTACACAGGCTATAAAAACAGAATTTGACGAGAAAAAACGGATGCAATCAACGAAATAGAATTAGAATTTTTGACTCAAGAAGAGCTTATGAAAATCAAGATTTCGTTCTCGAATCAGTACAAGTTTTTTTTTTTTTTTTTTTCTATTCCTTATTATTCTATTT